AGAATATTATTTGTCATTAGCTATACTATAGCTGCTATAGTATAGTTGATATTTTTGTTAGAAGCAGGCAGAAAAACTCAGAGACAAATAACTTGAAAGTCAAAGTTATCAATAAATTGAAATTGAATGAAGCATTATGAATAGCACATTACAGTTTAATTGTTGTTAAATCTTTTACGGAGTCAAACATATTGAAAAATTAAGAACGAAATCACACGGAAAAAAAAAATAAAACAAATAAACACTGAATTATTCAATATAATAGTCATTGTTACGTAGGAACGCCAATCACCTTGCTTTATTTAATTTCAAACTGATTCATTTTTCTCTGTATGATTGACTCATTAAAAAACATTATTGATGTTTCGACGTATAGTATGCCCGCAGAGCAGAAAAAAGATGTGTATTTCAACGAATCAATATCAAATGCACTACGTGTAGCGACCTCTGAGTTTTTGGAATGGGCCGAATATAAAATTGGTACTAGTCGATAGAGAAAATTATTCTCTATCAAACTGCGCTTCCAGTTTTTTCCAAAAAAATGTCTAAACATAGAAATAATCGCCACACTCTAACCAATCCGAATGTACATCATCTGTAATGGCTACGACATTGACGGATACGGATAACACAATATGATAGTCTCATACAATAAGTAATCACGATGCTGTTTCATTTTTTTGTAGAATTAAAACTATATTGAACTTCGACGATCAGCTTGATCGTTACATTTATTTCAAATATTTTTTTCAAGAAAAAAAATACAAAAAAATAATAAATAAGTACAATCATAAGAAAAAATATACAAGAAAAATATTGTTAACGTTTATCATGTTTCAGTTTTGTTCCATCATTTTTTCGAAAACGTTTTACCGATCGGACAGTTGATTCTGACGGCAGAAGAGGTGTTTTCTGTAGGAGAAATAGAAAAGAAATAACGAAGTAATTAATTAAAAGTCTAAAGTTACAAAAAATGTTGTAGTTGAACTTGTTATCGTTTGTGCTTTTGGAGTTGAGTGTATTAATGGAGATGAACTTGGTGTTGAAGTATCATGAATGTCCTGAAAAAGATGAAAGTGATCTCTACTAAAGCATAATTTTTGATTGATACCGAAGTCATAGTTGCTGTTCGTCGTCTTTTAGGTGTACTGGAGAAATTCAATATACTGTCGCTGTTGGAATCATCTATGGAGTAATTATGATCATGAAGTATGTGAAGAGATAGATTATCTTGCAAAGCAGCTGTTGAAGTATCAATAACACAATTGTTGAGATTGAGTTCATCATTAGTTCGATCATAATTGTCCATATAGATTTCCGAGTCGTCAGTCTGAAAGTAGAAAAAAAATGAATAAAAAATTATTTGAAACAGTGCGTTTTGACCTGATTATAGATACTCTCTGACTCTGATATAAATGAATCATCATCACATTCTCTATCACTTTGTATAGATGCATCTGTTGAACGTGCATCATCACTACTATCATCAATAAGAAAATCATTTGAGGTTAACGATGTGATGCTCTTAAGAAAAAAAAAGATGTGAATGTATAAATTAATTTTTATACGAACTTGCGTATTTGGTTGATTAATACAGGAATCAACATTACATTTGCAATAAATTGTACAGCTAATATTGTTTTTCCAACATTTACAACGTTTGCAATTCGTTTTACAGTCACCACAAGTGATAAGTCGAGAATCAGAAGGTTGATCAGGAAGATCATTCCATTTAATTTTGAATCGATCAATGCTATCAACATTTTTATAACCTGAATCAAGCATAGATGGTGTAGTTGGGTTCGAGTCGAGACAGTCAAGCCAAATCTTAACTTGCCGAGCAGCTCTTAAGCAATGTTGGTGGAATGATGATGTTGATGGTGGTAAAGATGATGCAATATTGGTGCGAGTACGATCCTTCATGCGAACTTCAGCCACTAAATAAACATTTATTAAAAACATAAGTTCTGTATGAGAATGAATTAAAAAGAAATAAAATAATACTTAAACTTACTCATGGCCCTGAGTTCGTCAAGTGAATGAACCATTCTTCCAAATGAGTAACAGTTAATAAGTAATTGTTCACAAGCAGCAATAGCTTCGTAAGGTGGTGGAATACAATTTAATTTATTTATCGATGAATATTGATCAGGATAATCGAAGAAATAACTGAAAACTTTCTCCTTCGTAATGTTCCTAATAAATGAGGTTGTATCACATCCTGAAAGACTGTGAAGAACAAGAAGACATGTAGGATCAATAGCTGCTTGACGCAGACCAGTTGCAATAGATTTTACATCAATAAATGTATTTTTTTTAGTTCGAGTACTTGTTGACTTGATAATAAGATGATGGAGCATAATTGTAGATCCAAGTGCGATAGCAAGTAAAATAACATCAGTACTAGAATATAAAGAACAAATTTTGTTAGAGTATCGTCTATTTTTGGATAGAGTAACCTATCTTATGATTGACGTACTCGGTGGTATCGATAATAACTGTTTTCTGCAATTGATCAAGGCTAATTATGTTTGTGTGCAATAATAATCTTGTGCGTGATTCAGAATGATTTGATTCTAAAAGATAATCTACTTGAGGAGCCTGCCCATTTTGTAATTTAACAGCTGTAGTGTCGGGTCCACCAACAACAAGAAGACGTCCTAATGGTAAATATTTAATAAGATCAGACTCCATCCAACATTGACGGATGCATTTAGCAAGAACAACACGATTGCAATGGGCAAATTGTCTAAATGGTAATTGAAGTCGATCATCACCTCGCAACTGATACATGGTATTATCATTATTACGACCATGTACTTTAATCAACCGTTTCAGTATGTTGCTCTCAACTTCATCGAACACGACATCAATTCGATGCTAAAAAGAACCAACAGCAATAGCAGATTCACAACACTAAACTTACATATGTCTCAAACAAAAGCCTAATGTTTTTATCTAGTAATTGGATTGCATAATCGCGTATTGTTTTTGCTTCAGGACTGGGCTTTGTGTCAAATAAACTACAACCATCTATAACAAGTGCACTTTCAACAGCAGAAAGTGGGTACGATGATGAAAAAGATGATGGAAATATTTTTTTTAAGAAGTCAATAGCTGTTGATTTCGACTGCTGGTTGAAGGAATCAACATTGTCACGATCACAAAGAGATAATGGGACTGGAGAAAATTCAAAAGCAAAAAACTGAGACAGTGGTTTCAAATTTCGCTGTTGCGCAATGATGATCGTACGTCGAATTTCTTGGTCTGCTAATCTCGTCAAATGATGGTAGTCTTTAATATTTTCAGCAAATATACGTCCCTTCTTCGATCCACATTTAGTGTTGGGTACATAGGTATCCGCATGTCTCAGTTCTAGAAAAATAGAAATGTTAAAGTCGTTTATCTCTACGTTTGATTTTTTTTAGAAAATTACTCAGCAAATGCATTGTTTTCAGTGGACTGTCAATTGGGACTATTTTATGAACTAATCGTTCGTCGATATAAGTGGATAATGCAAGTTCACCTCGTTCATACAATGAGGTAATGTTTTCAATTATATCATCATGTATTATAAGACCTGAAAGAATTCTATGACACTTAAGATTTGTTTTTGTAAATAAATTTTCACTGCGAAGTTTCTTCGTAATGATCGACAAGTCTGCATCATCAATAACTTTTCGGCTTGGTGAGCATTCGACGTGAGAGTCGATGGAATTGTTATCTGTCTCGATACCACATATTTCTTGCAAATTGAAGGTAAGCAGTGCTCTAAATGCAAAGGATTGTGCCCAATTTTCAATGGATAGCTGATTATGTCTACCGCTTATCCCTCCAGAACCTTTACCATGTTTATTAATGGTACACTCGATGGCTTGATCGAGTGCAATACCTGCATCAGTTTCATATTTGTAATCAAAAAAAAGGTAAGATTCAGCTTACTAGAGAATTTACGATGTGAACGTGTTACTGCAAAAGCTTTTTCCATACGTGAAAATAAATAAGATGATGAATTCTGTAAGTCAAACAAATGTTGTGCGGAAAGTCTGGAATAATTAAGTCTATTTGTTGCAAAGAATATTGGTGAAAATCGATACAAAGCGGCATTCCTTGCAGAGAAATTACATGTACGTATAGAGGCATATAATTGCAGCATAGGTTCGAGAAGTTGATTAAGTATGAAATACCATAGGCGAAAGGTAGAGTTCGTATTACAAGAATCAATGGTCCAATTATGCAGATACGTGGAAAGATTACTTTTTCCAATAACTTCAATTAACTGTATAAACCATGTTTGAGCAGTATCATCAGATGCGAATTCTACCGGTATTTTTTTCATTGTTGATTTTAAATGATTGATTGAATCTGTAACCAATAATGATGTTAAAGTTTCTTCAAAAAAAGCTTCCAATAAAAGTATGTATAGTGCTGTATATAAAATTTTGCAACACCGCAAGCTTTTGTTAAAATGGTGCACTCTAAACGGTATGAAATTATCAAAATTCTGTTCGAAGCTTGACTGTTTCTTGGGAAAAGACATACTTACTTTAAAATGGATTTCAATGTTGCACCCTTGTAAATATTTTCAAGTATGTCTTCAATCCCAGAACCTTGTAACACATCCCAAATGACGATCATCATATTTTTATGCAGATGAAAGTCACCAGGATAAATGAAAATATTTTTGAACAAATCAGATTGATGATATTTTACCTGTAAATACAAAGAAAAGAGAAAACAAAGCATTTGTATATTTTTTTTATTTACCTTCATACAAGACCGGTAGATTTTTTCATCGACGACGAGAATACCTTCTTTCTGGTACTGCGAATCAACGAATAATTGTTTTGTTTCTTCCATACATTTCTTCGCCGTCGACTGCGAGCTAGGATCCTCATTGATTGGTATCATAAATGAGATGTTGTGAAGAGGTCTTTTCTCAAGAGTTAGGTAAGTGGCAAAAAAGCCGGACATGATGGGAATAGAAACAGGTAATAAAGGAGAGAGATAATTAAAAGAAACACGAGTAGAATCATTCGCGTACTTGATCAAATTATAAGCAAGAAAAGGTAAGTGCAACGAATTATTGATGAAAATTTTGTTGCAAAAACAAATAGGATGATTAATCGGAATTATTTCAGCGTCTTGTTTGGACAGCTTGAAAAAGTTCTATCCTTATTTTGATAATGAAAAGAAAAAAATAATATTCACCGGAGTCGAGATAATTGAATTCATTATTTTATCAAGTAAATCATTCACACAATCAGTGATCATGGCAGGTAGTTCATTATTTTCAGGTGTAGATATTATTATCTGGTTCAAAATATGAATGCTGTTATTTCCATGCAATCTGTCCGGATTAATGTCGAAGTTGTCAGCAACTTTCACAACAAAGTTGTGGTCACCAGGTGATATTTCTTGACGAGGATAAATTAATGGTTTTGATCCTAATCGTGCTCTCTCTGCAGCTTCTACATGTAAACGTACAATTGTATCATAGCTTGGCGTATGACCAAGTCTATTGGTTATCGTAAGCAGTTGTTCGGATCGTTCGTGCCGATATAGTTCATTACCAAGTAAATCTAAAAAGAAAATACGTTAGCACTCCTTCTACGAATGTAAAGTCTTACAATGTTTTGGCGTGATGTTGTGATTACTTGTTGCATAGACTACGTCATAACAAATAGAGGCGATCTTTAACCATTTGGAAGAGTTTCTAAAAAGATCTTTAGCCTGAATGTCGTAAAATTCATATTCTTTCTTCATTTTTGAAAACGTTTCATCATTCAATGTCAATATACCAATAAAATTTTTTAATAAAAGAGGCACACAAGACCAAAACAAATCAGAATCGAAGTTAATCAACGACGACCTATCATTTTTCCTTGATCGGAAAATATGAATATAATTTTTAATTGAAAGTCGAAGTTGTTCAATAACTTCTATAAATTTCTCACATAATTGTTCTTTTTTATTGACACCAGGGGGTTCCGTTCGTTTCCAAACTTTCAGTTTTGATACAGCATTACGTACATAAAAACAAGGATCAGACAATCCAACAAAAACACCCTACAAATATCAAGACTGTAAAATCATCCAAAGTAGTTAGCTTATTATCCTTATAAAATAAGTTAGATAGAAAACAAAGTTACGTATAATCTACTTACTTCGTTATTACTTTGCTTGTAGAAGTACAACTTATCACCATATTTAAACTTGAGACGTTTTTGAATTGAAGATGTGCGAAACATGTTCGCCTTTGGATTTTCTTTACGTCGTTCAGCAATGATTCTGTACTCCGTACTAATATCCATCATTGAAACAATTAAGCCACTACGGAGTAACTCAATCAGCCATGAGCATAATTCATCAAAGGCAGTTGCGAAAAGGTCAGAACAATTATTACTTTGGGGACATGGCGGAGCTTCGTGTAATTTTGTTTGAATTCTATGTGATCGACGGGAACTCGAGGTGGTGCCTGTTTTTGCACGATATGCCTAAAAAACAATAATAACTTATAGTATAAATAAGTATATAAGTATTTATTGTACTCGTTTGAACTTTCTTACTCTAACATTTTCTTTTTCATTTCTATTTTTTAAATTTACATATTCATCTTCTTCATTCGAGTTGATTTTTTTTGGAATCATCGAATAATTTTGTATACTATTTGATGAAAATATTGCTGGAGTAGTCCACTAAAGTAAATGTGTAATCGAATTAATTAAGATAACTAATCAGAAAAGTAGACATACTTCTATATAACAGTCTTCATCTTCGCTGCTTTGATAATTATGATTGTCATCATCTGCTTGTGTTCCCCCTGGTGTCATACTTGCTATTTCAAAACTTTTATCATCAACAGCTGCCGCAGATATCACATTGATTACGTTGCTCCGCTGTGCATTCTAAAAATAAAACAACAAGCTATAATTTTTTTATACTTTTTTAATTTTACTAAATCATTGGTTGCAAAAGTAATGTTTGAAGTTCTATTTTTGTTGATCGGTGACATTGAAAAGATATCAATATTATTCAATTGTAAAGATGATCCATCATTTTCAATCCTAACATCTAATTCAATATCTGCAGATAATACAAAGACCGAAACAAATATTACATTGTATTCAGATAATTGAATAAAAGAAATACCTTGATTTGATCGATCTACTAATGGTTGTTGATGACATGAAGAACTGCAAATGTTTAAAGAACTCGTATTTTCTATTGTTGTCATCAAATGATTATTCAAAATGTTGTCATTCTACAATTCAAAGAGGTAAAATATTCATGTTTAAAAAAAATTCAACTTATCTCACCTCTTCCTCTGAGTAATAATCATTAACCATTTTCATATTCATGTTCAACTCGACACTAGAAGACTGTGCTTCATTTTGTTGAGAATAATTTCGTTGAATGTTGATGAATGAAGATTGATGATTTGTAGAGGTGTTTGTTGTTGTTAAATTATACCGTCGAGGACGTTTATACAATTTTGGTCGACCAGTTCTATTTACAACTGGCACGGGTGTGAAACTAAATGTAAGTGCACGATAACAAGAACAATGTACTTTCCTGTTGATCAAAGAATAATTTAAGGGTTGTCCATGACGTTTTTCATAAGCTTCATAAACTTTTTGTTGTCGTTCCATAGTTGTAATTGTTGTAAATTTTGAACGTGCTCCTCGTTCCCGTCGATCACATAACACACAATGTATTATTTCTGACGGCATGATTGTATATTGAGAGAACGACTAATCGGTCGTGCATTATAAAACAATAGTACCATTATGCGCTATTTTCATTGGTCGTTGACTTCTATAGCTTGTTATTGGTCTAAATTAGTTGATGGTTTTCTCAGAAATAACTCTGAGGCCGAAAAATTCGAGTTCATCACAACAACTGCCTCCTATCTAGTGACAATTGATGTTAAGAAGAGCCTTGGAAAAAATGTACAGACAACTAGCGTCGCCTAGTGCATTAGTATGTTGACGATTTGATAATGATTCAATGATTCATCCCTATTTGCGGGTAGACTAGTAACAAAGGCACAATCACAACAATTAATTCAGTGTTAAGTTTTTTTTAGTCTGCTTTAGATTGATGTGTTTGACTTGTTATTGGAAATATTTGACATCCTCTGTCGTATTGGACTATATATAAACAATGATCATGTCGTTGATGATATCTAAATAGACTATTGAAAAAAATAGAGGAATAAACATTGTTTTGTATCATGGACGAACGAGCATTGTTTGTCTACTCTATATATATGTAATACATACCCTTTTTATTTTTCATATGATATTGCAAAGATAATCGGTGTATATTGTTATGACTGTTACTAGATTAGAAGATCTACCAAATGAATTGTGGTTAGAACTTTTCGTCTATTTCACATGGTCGGAACTAAATTCAACATGGTTTCAATGGGAACTTAATAATCGTATTCAAATGTTAGCTGAGGTAGCGCGGAATCGAGTTGCTTTGCCACTCTCGTCGATGTCATTTACAACGTACGGTCGATGTTTGCACTATTTCGAACATGAACATCCAATGATCGCTTATCGTATAACTTCTCTTTTGCTCAATGAATCAGCTGTATCAAATGAAATTATTAATCGATGGCTTGAAAATGATACATCTTTTCTTCCACGTATTCGACAATGTACAGTCTATATAGATCTCGTTAATAGATCTGTTCGCACAAATGTTATTCTCCTTATTCGTCGACATGCATTGATATTACGTCGTATTGTATTTTATTTCGGTAGAGTCGATAGATACTATTCTATATTGAAAATGGTCATCGAACAAGGCATTTCTCTGCATACAATGCAATTTATCATTATTACAGGTAAAGAAATATGTTTTTGTTGAGGAATATTCGTATGTCTTCGCTGATTATCGAATATTTCGAATTAAGTAGGGTTGGACTTTAGATTAATGAAGGGTGTTATTCTTAAATCTGTGACGTTGAGAAATCGATTGAAAAATATATTTCTAGTGTCATATTAAATAAAACATTTGAACGATTATATATAAGAGTGACAGATAGACCTCCTTTTTTTTCTCAAGACCTCTAAATGTTCTGAATAAAGAAAGTTCCATATTTTATGACATTCAAAGCTTGATGTTAAACGTTCGAGAAAGGATATTTTGGATATCTGACCATTAAAAGTATCCTCGGATGTGTTCATGTCGAGGAGAATCTATAGAAAATACAATATTGATGATACGAAAAACAAATCTAAACAGAACAATTAAAATCTTTGAACGTAGCTTAAGAGAAACTGATTGAGCATTCTATTGTACAGCAATCTTTTCTATTTCAACAAAGATATTTGTCTCAATTGAGAACTTTTTATGGATAGAATGCAAGTAAAATGAAAAATTGTTCAAAAGATTTCCATTTTGGAAAAATATTTAGAGAAGAACAGGTGATGTGAATATAATATTGCAAGATATGATGTTTATACAAGGATAAAGAATATTTTTCATGTTTTCAACGATCATCTTTGTCCAATAAACATGTCTATCATATGAAATTTGATTCTCTCTTGTTTTAGATAACAGATATTTTAAATGGGGAAGTTCTTTAGCGAAATGTGCCACTTATTCTCATCAAATCTTTACATTTCCAAATACTGTTCGTTTTCGTCTCTCGTTACAATATATATCTGATTTAGCACTATTGATGCAATGTGATACTTTACCGCGCATAGAACATCTTCATATTACAATGGAAAATGGAATATATACTTCACATAAATTACACAATGAATATGAAGATACATCTTGTCTTACATTATGTCCCAAAGATTTCAATATAAGTCGAGCTAGTCTAACACATTTACGTACATTACAATTGAGACAAGTAGCCGTTACTAATGTTATTGTATTGATACAACATGTGAAATCAATGAGTCAAGTTGAATCATTAATTTTGATGAACTGTAATGTTAAAGGTATGTATTGTTAATAGAAAATCTAGATTATCAATGATTATAGTTGATAAAATCACTCTTTCGTTTTTAGATAAGAATGAACTTATTGTATTTAAAAGCTGCATTACAAATTTTATGATTTGTCTGCGTTGTCTTCATTTTGTACTTTATATACCTGCTGAAACAAAGCTTGAAAACATTGATGTTTACTGGTTTAATTTAAGTCATCATACTGTTGAATATGAGATAAATGAACTGATGGTACTTTACAAAGTTCCATATCTATTAAATAGTCAACGACAAGTATATAATCATACGTTTGGACGACAATCGACAATCAATAATAATATAACTCAT